CCCCGCCTGCCCCGGAGGTGACCACATGGCGTGGCAGACCTCTCCTGACCCGCCCGCTGCTCCCCTCAGCAGTGTGCTTCATCGATCTGCCTGTTCTACTCCCCGCTCTGTCCCTGGTGAATCCTCTCACCCTCCACATCTCTAGCCTGTACCCCAGTTCTGTATGAATAAATAAATCTTAAAAAAAATGCATTTACATATAAGAGCTGATGTAGTTAGTCACCCATTAATTGTCAAATGCATATCATCCTTCTTGTCACCAATGCTACAAAGTATAACCTCTATTTGAATATTGAATTTACTCAATCAGAACCCTGATTCTCCTTTTTTTTTTTTTTAAAAAAAGGCAATTATACAAGGAACTACACAAATTGCACAGACTTACTGGCAGCCAAACCCCATCACATATGCCCCTGGGAACATTAGATAAAACATTGTCTCTTCAGTACTCATTCTTTACAGAACACCCTGAGTCACAAAGTAATTTAAAAAATCTAATGCTACTTGATGTCACAAGGAACTGATACCACCACAGTGTCTCACACAAGACAGGAAACAATTTTTTTATGGGATTTTACAGCATGTAAAAATCTACTAGGTTACCCATATTACCAGGTAACTATAAAATGATTAGGAAGCATTAATAAATACTGAGTAAAGAATAACAAAGAAAAAATTTAAATAGGAGATATGAATTTATTTTATATTTGCTTGGTAATGCAGAATTAAAATTTTCAAATGCCCACATTGTTAGCTTAAGTTTTCATTTTATACCAGAAAGAGAATTGTCATTCTGATTGCAGTTTCAACTGCTCATTTTCTAGTTCACATGGATGTTCATTTTTTTTTTTAAATAATGCCATCTAAACTTTTCTAAGGTCTGTGTAAATTTTTTTCTAAATATACAAAATAATATTAACCATATTTTCCACAATTAATTTTGACTAATTTAATTTCCTCTTTCATCTATAGCTAAATTTGTTTGATTCATATTAACACATACTAAGATCTACTACTTATTATCTGAAGAGGTAAGAGTATTCTGATTTGAGTTGCATTAGTACCATACTCAGTATTGTTCAAGAATCGGCAATAAAAAAAAGGACTAAAATCCTGCTGGGCACAAGCTCAAGTGGGTAGAAATAAAGAACAGAGTACAAATTCATACTCTGAGCTACTGTCAGTGCCAAACACATCAATAAAGTTAAAGTATCTGAATTTACTTGCTTTTTCATTTTATGTCAAAGACCAGAGGCTCAGCCAAAACCGTCACGTAGATGTGATCAGTGCATAAAACCATAATTATTACAATAACTCACTCACAGAGCCTTTTCGTTTACAAAGACTGTCCTATGTCTGATATAACTGAACCTCAAAGCACCAAGCACCATATTGCTGTCCCCAGTGGGGAAACTGAAGCCCAAGAAGTGTGAAAGACTTGCTCCATCTCAGGGAACCACTAACTAATCGCGATGAGCACCAGACTCCCAAACTGGAGCTGTCTTTTTCAAACTGAAGAGTTTCCATGACAACTTACTCTTCCTCACAATAGAAATAGAAGTAAGGCAAAACCTTGATTCATCAGTTCTCAAACTGTTCCTCCTATCTCTAGATACAGTTCTGTCCTTAGCCTCAACACATACATAAACACATACAGATGGAGGGCAGGGACAGATAGGGATGAGGGTAAATTAAAGCTCCCTCTAAGCAGGAATGGTTTGGATTGAACATTTTAACATTAATTGCCAAAAATAAATACTTAGTGCATAGACTCACAGTTAAAAGACTGAAAGAGAGCTTGAACATCAACTGTTCAACTTCCATTTCACAGATGAAGAGAACATGGTGAGGCCGTGAGCAGAGAGCTCCCTCAAGGTGACCCGGTGAAATGCTTACCGGCAGCAGAGCCAGGCTCAGAGTGGCTCTTTGCTCCCAGCCTTTGATGCTGTTTCCCAATTCAGGGACAAAGCACAGTCTAGATTTTACAAGGAACCGTCACAGTGCTAGAGAGACTAGAAAACTGGATCTTACACTCCAACATCATGAGTGTAAAAATGATTGATATTTTGTGTATCAAGAATGGAGGAGCTTGGCTAATTCAGCTCACATTGCTAACTAAGGTTAAGGATCATTTATAAAATATGACTTTTTCTTTCCTTAAGCTACACAGAGCTTTTTGAATTATTATAACAGATTTAAATACATTCAAACACTGGACAATCTCTCAAAATATCACCATTTTGAACTTACATAAAGAATAAAAATATACAGTATTTCATTATCTTTTCTAGATACAAGTCTCTTCAACCTACTCAGTATATTGTCCTGTTCCTGTCTACATCCATTGCCTTCTTTTCCCGGAATTGTCATAACAATATTCTGAAGCTATTTTAAATTTAGATGATTTTTATTTCTCCTCTGAAACTTAAATACCAGGCAACAAAGTATTGCTGGAATTTAACAAATCTAAAAATTGCCTAACTTACAAGTCATTTGCTACTTAAACAATATTAATTTTCACATAAAAAAATAAATAATCTAATTAGACTTTATTGTACCTGTCAGTCCTTTAAAAGACTTCTTCACTCTCCAGCTTTTTGGAGAAGCAAAATATAAGAATTTTCTAGACAGTATCATTCCATAGGAGGGACAAACATTTATGTAGACCAACAGTAAGCCACAGAGATGATAGAAAATATTGACAACAAACTTAGGGATTTTTTTGCCTCTCATTCACAAGATTCACTTTTCCACTTGGAATACGAGGTCTAATCTATAGCAGATGTCGGTGTGTCCTTCACATTCTGGTCAATCTGAGGAAGGTTTTCTCCAGAGGTGAAGAGCTGCCTGAATTCTGAAGTGTAGTCTAGACTCCATGGAGTAATCTTTGTAGTTGTTTCTAAAGACAATAACAATAAAATTGAGATGTCAAAATTATTTGGTATGCCAGATTGACCACCTTCCCATTTCTGTCATCTTCAAATCAGTGATTCTTCGAAGAAATTAGGCTTCTATACTTGCTTCCACTATCATCGAGTAGTTGCAATGAAGACCTTCTACCCTAATATCAAAACTTCCATCTGATCCTTTACAGGAAAGGACCTCTATATCAAGGTCTGCTGACCCTGATATAGAAGAGAATAGCGTAAAGAGCGGTCACAAGGATGTTCAAGATCATAATACCTCTAGTCACAGAGTCAGGCACTGAGGGGGTTGGAGGCAGCACAATTACAGTAAAAGCTAGGAGTATAAACTAAGCATAATTTAGCAAAGGTAACAATTTCACTAATTTTTCATTTGTGTTTCAAGCTGTTGGCATATATTGCTACTGCTGTTGTGAAAATGGTCTTGACATCCCTGGCTCCACCGCATCTAGGCAAAGCTTCCCTCGTCACTTACCTTGCAGTCTCCAGCACCTTGGTGGCCTTGTCAATTTCCCCTTGGCTTTTGTACAAACATGCCAACTCAAACAGGGTGAATGGCACTAGGTAGTGGTCGTACTTCAGTAGCTTTTCACTAAAAGAGTGAATGAAAAAGCAATTAAGTCTGCAAAGGAGCAGAAACATATCCTTCTTTTTTTATGCTTTTCCCCATTCCTCAGAAAACAGATGGATGCAGCACTAAGCCCCTTAAGAGAGAAAATCTGTCATTATGTAGCAATCTAATGAATCATGGTAATAAATAGTATACTTTTAATATAGTAATCTTTCATTCATTCCTTAATCTAAATCCAGCACTGAGGATAGCTTACTGTCCCCTAAGTAAATAAGTAACATCTTCCAAGACGAAACCTGGAAAGGATATGACCACTCTATGAATATGAATATGAATATGTTCAGGAAATAACAACTTAGAAAAAAGAAAACTATTTTTTAACTGAAGTTCAATTCCCTTCATATCACTAAGTCTTACAATGCTTTAAAATAAGATCAACATAAATGGTGAACATTTCTTTCTTATCAATATTATGAAAACTCTGGCCACAAAGCATCTAGAGCTACTGAACAAATACGAGATATTTCCAATGCATAGCTCAAGACACAAGAACATAAACATGGTCAGGTCCAAAATCAGAGCTACAATGGAAAGAAACAAAACCAAAACAAAACCAAAAACCTGATGTGTGCAGGATAATGCCTAAGCAGTGGTGGGCCCTGCTTCAGTTCAAATTAGAAAAACCCACTTGCAGGCATAGAAGGAAGACAGGGCTGTAAGAAAAAAATTCTTGGAAACACATAAGGAATAATCCTGCTTCCACAAGAATTTGCAATTCAAATTTATATCACCCAAATGATCCAAGGGCCTCTAGGCAATGAAATTAATGTGAAAGTGGACACAGGTTAGAAAAGCTTTTGGATCGCCAGGCAGAAATGAAAGCAAAGCCACTTGAGAGAAAGACTCTTGGGCAATCCTAGCCTCATAGGAGTGCCAGCATTAGGCCCACTGAAGGTGAACGGACTGAAGGTAGCTATCCAAAATAGCATAGCACACAGGCAAACAATTCACCGTGAAATACAAAATCCTAGCAAATAGCACAAAGGGGTCATCCTTTGATCCCCATAAGAACTCTGGTGAAATAGAATTCAATGGGTATTTCTTTAACATGTTTATCAAAAATAGTAAATTACTATTTGGGAAATAGATATAACCCCTTTCCTCTTCTTATATGAACAACAGTCCTCCCACATTCACATTATTTGTCAGAAAGAAGGAAATGGAGACCATCAGGAGAAAGGCTCATGATAGGGAACAGAGGCGGATCAACTGACAGTCTGTGCCTGCGCCCTATTCTGCTTCAATGTTTTCAAAATATTTCACCCAATGTTTGAAAATCAGGAGATTTTCATATAAAATCAATATTCCAGGTTTTTCATGCAAAATTATAAAGACTTCTGTAAGTAGATGACAGCTTAGACAGCAATCATTACTTAGAACTAAGGAGTGGCTGCGCTTTAAAGAGAACACACCTCTCCCACACCTCCAGTGTCCACCACCTGCTAGTCCTGCCAACACTCAGGAAGGCTACTTGTCTGGATCCTGCAGACATCTGAATTTGTGAGGTCAGAAAAGAGGTCATACATCAGAATCCTAACTCTTCTGTTTAGCAAAGGAGAGGACAGCATCATTAGTGCTTTTAGAAACAAACAAGAACACCACTCATTTATGTTCAGAAGACATGCCCTTTGCCAAGGAAGCAGGTACTGAGTACCTGGTGTGTCTTTCATCTCTGACAAATGATCCCCACTCTGAATCCCTAAGACCCAGCACCGCCTCTGGCTCAGAGTAGAAGCTCAAATAGCTGTGGACTAAATGAAGGGTCAAGTGTGTCAGTCGAAACAAGGACAGCAGAGGAAGGTACATAGTGTTTGCTTCGGCAGAACAAATACTCATCTAGATACAAATTGTTAGCCTGACCATGAATTCAGCTTTTGAATCACCTTTAAATACCAAGTGGAAATACATAAAGCCATGTTCTACTTAGATTATAATTTTCTCTTCAAAGAATAAAGAAAACATCCCAGAGTCTCTTTTATTAACACCAAGTAAGAGCTTCGCAGCAGTAGATAAAAGCATTGCTTTCTTAGCGTAGTTCCCCAGAAACCATAATTTGCATTCTGGTTGAATTTACTGTTTGTTTTCACCTTTGGATAACATGATTGAAACACAGTTCTGCTTGCAGAGGCCGTTGTAAGTTCTTCAGACAGCATCCTTTCAGCAGCTTCACCAGGCACTCGTCGTCTGCAGAGTAGTCACTGAGGTCTTCAAGTGAAACAAAGAAAGATCACACACCAAAAGAATACTCATCAAATTCCTAGTTAGGAGGGAAATCTAATAGCTATTAGGTTTCAGAAGGATCATTTAAAATTAAGAAAAATGTTTTTGGGACTTGTTGTGCTTCACTAAATAAAGTGAACATATTTTACATGAAAGAACCTGGATTTCTTAGATTAATGCACCATTTTATTAAGGAGTTTGCTCTATTCACTCACAAAACTTTTCAGGTGCTCCTGTTCTGAGTTATGTGATGAGCGATGGAACAGCAGGAAAACCTGACTCTAAAGGAAGAGCTTTATTGATTCAGTAAGAGGGAAAGCCATCAGGAGCAAGACGGCTGCCCTCCTATGGTTCTGGCTTCTAGCTGTGTTGGCTTCATGCAGCAGAGGATAACACTTCCATATGGAGAGGCAGATGGCCCTCTACCCATTAAAAATTCAGGAAGTAGAATGCCCTCTCCAGATCATTATGTTTACAACTTATCAATTCTCCCAGGTTACGTTCCTTTAGGGGGAAAATGATCTCATAAAACTAGACAAAAGGGTTCCGAAGTCGATGCAACGTACCTCAATCCCCACAAACTTTTATCTGCTTGGAGCTAACGGAAAGAATTTTCTTTCACCATTTTTTCCTTTTTGAAAATGACTTTTTGCCTTGTATCACCCAAGGCTGTAGAATATTAAGCAGAAGGAACCATAGTATGTGTGACATCTACCTGACAAAGGTAACTACTCCACATCTCCCAATTTTAAATTTGGGGGTTTGCAAGTTATACACAACTAAGATGACACTGTGAAAGACTGATAATTTATCATCTCAGGCTGTGACAACACAGGTGGGGAGGAGCAGGAAACCAAATTAATGAGGCCCTGGGAGTCCCTCACACTGCAATCCGTACCAACCTCAGAAAACACCATTAACACAGGCTGGTGTTTTAGTTGGTAAATTGATTGCCTATGGAAAGTCAGCAATGCTACCTAGCTAACTAGAAGGGGCTCACATTGCTTCTATGTGCTGAAAACAGCTGATACTCACCTCTCACTTTAAATCTCTGGTAGGTTATTCACCAAGAAAATCACAGGTAGCAATACCACATTGCCTTTCCTATTACTTCAGGACCACTTTTCTACCCAAAAACTATCCATCAGGATTGTTTACTGAAACATATATTCAGGCAGCAGTATCTTTTCAGGCTTAGGACAAAAGATCATAGGTTCCAGAATGGCTGGGAGAGTTTAGCCTGTTCTTTGTGCATTCTATTGTACAATGGAGCATTTATAATCATGATGTTATCACACCGTTCTGATGCTCAGTAAATGATGGTTTTGCTGAGAACAGAAATAAATCCAAGGAGAGTAAAAGTACCAATAAAGCTACTTTACTTTTATTTAGATCAAGAGTTAGGATGTGGAAAAGAGATTAAAAAATAACCACATTGGCCCTCGCTGGTGGCGCAGCGGGTTAAAGCACAGCACTAAGAAGCTTAAGCCACTTCCACATGAGTTCGATACCCGCCTGCCCCGGAGGTGACCACATGATGTGGCAGACCTCTCCTCACCTGCCCGCTGCTCCCCTCAGCAGTGTACTTCATTGATCTGCCTGTTCTGTTCCCCACTCTGCCCCTGGTGAATCCTCTCACCCTCCACATCTCTGGCCTGTACCCCAGTTCTGTATGAATAAAATAAATAAATCTTTAAAAAAAAAAAAAAACCACATTCCTCAAAAACCTTAGAAAGCAAAGCCACTCTTTCCTCGGATGACAGAGTACTTATCTGTCAGATGATTATTTTCCCTGAAAATATTAATGCTGTGCCGTAACCCTCGACATCAGGAGTGAGTTCACTGATGAACATTTCAGCACAGCTTCCACTTTACATTTTAAGGGCATTACACAACAGTGCTACCAAAGCAGATTTTCATCACAAAAGATCTGCTGAAGTTAATAATGAAACAGAGGGTAGGCGGGGGGAGAAAGTTTGAAGCCCAAACCATAAAAATATCTACACTGAACTTTTTAGAAGCTAGTTGAAAAGCACCAAAGGAAAAATTGGGAAAGAGATTTAGAAAGTGGAAACCCTTATGATACTTCCCTTTTATGTAACTCTGATGTTTGCCATATAATTTCATTGAGCAAATAAACTACAACAAATAGTTAAGTAAAACTACAGTAGTAACTTCTGGCTTCATGTGGAATTTAGCTAGATTTCAAATGCAAAGTAATTGGGGTTAACAATAACAATGACCCCAGGCATATTACCAAGTGTTTTTCTATCTCTAATGGAGATTCTACCCTTACATCAGTTACCAGCCTTTATAAAGATGGCATTGTCAGAATAGAACATCAATTATATATTCTTCTTTACTTTAGAGACACGTGGCAAAGTTAGGAGAAGCAAAAGCAGATCTAATTCCTAAATTAGGGAGTGGTGAGAAGGGGGTTTAGTCACCTCAGGTTTATAACTTCATTCTCTTTTCCAGTTTTGGTATTTTCCCACTCTGAAGACTAGTAGCTTAACTACCAAAGGGTATAACAGCCAGAGGAAGGAGGCCTGGGTAATTTTACTACACAAAACAATGAACCTGGAAGAAATCATCATAAATTTCTCATATAACATCTGGCAAAGGTGATCATTAGACAGCAAGTCTAACAGCAAGGAAACATACAAAGACAGAACTGTACAAAATATGGTGTATCTGTCTGCCTCATCCCCTCCCAGCATGCCTGAATATCTCTGTACAGTATATCAGTATATCATGCCTGAATATCTCTGTACAGTATATCATCTCAAGAGAACTACCTCTTGATCCAGCATTTTCTCTTCTGAGTATTTATCCAAAGAAAACAAAAACATTACCTTGAAAAGATATTTACATATCTACATTCACTGTATCATTAGTCACAGTATCCAAGATATAGAAAAAATTGAAGTATCTATCAAAGCATGAACATATAAAGATGTGGCATATATATACAATGAAGTATTATTCGCCCATAAAAAGAATGATATTTGAGGCCCTCCCTGGTGGCGCAGCGGGTTAAAGCACTGCACCAAGAAGCTTAAGCCACTTCCACATGAGTTCGATCCACGCTTGCCCCAGAGGTGACCACATGGTGCAGCAGACCTCTGCTGACCCGCCCGCTGCTACCCTCAGCAGTGTACTTCTTCGATCTGCCTGTTCTGGTTCCCACTCTGTTCCTGGTGAATCCTCTCACCCTCCACATCTCTGGCCTGTACCCCAGTTCTGTATGAATAAATA